TCTCTCTCTCTCTCTCTCTCTCTCTCTCTCTCTCTCTCTCTCTCTGCCTTCCTGTCTTCCTCTCTGCTGTGCTTTCAGTGTCTGTCGCTCCTCCTCCTCCCCCCATGCCCCAGCTGACTCCACAGATACCTCTGACTGGCTTTGTGGCCAGGATGCAGGAGAGCAGTAAGTGAAGAGGCCAAGACATACTTTTCCTCCTCGTCTGTAGCAACTACTCCCATTTCTGGAACACCCAGCATGCATTGTGCTTGTTCGTCCGCCCCCCCACACTTCTTCCCTGTCTGTCCTTTTGCAGCAATGGACCGTCCAAGAATATGTCTCATTAGAGTGCCGTCATTTTTTTCTGCTGTTTGGAGACAGATTTATCTCTTCAGCTACTAAACTGCATTGCTACTGTTTCTAAGTAGCAATAAAGCTACATCACTGTCATGGCAGAAGAAGTATATTTTTTTAAATGTGTGCAGTGGAGAAGCCACCAACTGAGATAGTTGAGGCAGCGACCTGCTGTTTTTAGTGATTTAGCCTCATCCAGAGTATTTTATCACTGACTAAAGCTTGGTGTTTGTATGCTGAACGTGGCTCTGCAGGGTTGAGCTGAGGTGAATGATAATGTTTAGACAGAGCCTGAGGTCTCTGCAAAATACAACCGGAGAAGATTGGACTCTTCACTGCCCCCTGCTGGACAAAACACCCGCATTACATTCAAATATTCAGTTCAGGAAGAATTGGTAACTTGAGATTTCGGCGGTGGATATTTGTTAACAAATAACACATGGATGCTGTCACACAAACCTAACCTACTAATACATAGCATGACACAGCATGGAATCATTTAACATCATGCAAGTGTTGATAAATCAAGAGGCTTAAACATACAGCATATACTCTTATTAAGTGATCCATGTGAAGTCCTAACTGGTGATGCTGCCTGCTTGATGAATTTAATATTCAAATACCGTCCTTTCATAAATTCTCATCATTATTTCTGCATGATTCAGTTGACCGGTGCTCCTCGAGGCTTT